AGTACTAGACCCCCCCCCGCACCCCCCCCAACAATTTTTTTTGAATGATTATCAATTTATCTGGAAAACCACCCTAACTAACTTTCTAATTTTATCAGAACCCCCCCTAATATTATGGTGGTTTAGGATTAAAATCTCAAAGTTAAAAGAGAGATTGTTCTGATTAACCCCTAAATCGGAAAGCGGTATTTTCTGATATTTTTGAAAGTTAAGGGAGATTCCTCTACATATTATCCGAAGTGGTTGGGGGAAAAACATACCGGTGTTATCGGATATTTAGGCAAAAACAACAATATTGTCTCGTAGTAAATTAATTAATTTTAATACGATCATAAATTATACATAATACACATATATGTTAGGCCGTGTCCCTATGTTTTATCTTCTCAAATTTGCCGTGTCTCGTGCACGCAGTAGTATGTTGCGCGTTACACCGTACCCGATTACCGATTACGTTCTGTAACGCACTCTTTCATGTAGTAAAGTTCTTTAGCAATCATATAGTTTTGGGCAGCTTGAAGTTCACATTATTTAAGTTTTCTGAGGTTAATTTCCTCTCTTAATTAGTCCTCGCCTTGTTGAACCTTCATGAATTATTAGTTTCTCGATCAATTTCCATAGCATGCTAGTATTGCATTCTAATTGCTTTAATATGAGCGGTTCAATTTTTTGTTGATATGAGCTCGTCACTTAACTAAAGAATCTTTTACTCGCCTGCTAACCTAAAAGGGGTTGGGGTTTTCTATTTTATTTTATTTTATTTTACGGGGGGGGGGGGGGCAAAAAACGTATCTCGAATACACAACATACATATGCATAGCCTTTCACACAGCGTAAACACGTCTGCTTGGATGGTCTCACCCCACCACTCCCTCCCTCTCCTCACCCAACAAATTCTTTTTCTTGGCGTATTTTTTGGCCGTGGGTGGCGTGGGTCACTGCTACGCAATCAAACCAGAAATACGGTCCAGTTGGACAATAAAGGTGGAAAAAAGATAAGTTGGCAGATCGACCCGATCCATAAGTCTCTCTGTCACAGATGAGGATGTTCGTCCTGATTCAGTCTCAAGTTCACTAGATAACAAATGATCCATCATAAATAATATGAATGGTATGTTATGTGTCTTGACATACTCCTGATACTGTGATTTTCACCTGCATGTATGTTTGCCTAGAGTCTTGACCTCACAGGTCTCATTAAGGAAATGGAACACCTTATTACTAATCTGTTGTGTGCATTCTGGGTGTTATTATGCTGCATGTTTACATTCTAGAATTTTATTTTTCCATAAACTGTTTAACATATTCCTCGTTTATGATTTGGTTCCTCTTCGGGAAATATTCCTCAATAATATTGAATGCTTCATGTTTATGATCTAGCTGCATTGACAACAATTAATCACATGAACTGCAGGCTTGTTGTTGTATTGCAGGATAAGACTTATATTTATGACTTCAACAGCATGACTATCCTGGACGTGATAGATACTGTGCCAAACACCAAAGGTAAAGAGAATTAGCTGATGTTAACGATTATTCTTACAGAATTTCTATAATTAACTTATTCATCCTATACATCTTGGCTGGAGTCTTTTAACTTTGCTGGGGCCATAGAATGCATAGGTTTTGTTGGATAAATAATGTTTTACATGTGATAGTTCTTTGCATCATAACCGGAAGTCTTCTGTTATGCTGTTTCACAATCTTAATATTGTTCTTTATTTACTGTAATATGTATACAGCATATAGAGGAGCTTTTGAGTTCTATATGTTTATGCTGTTTTCCCTAGTGATAACGGAGGTCACTTACGTGGGTCGGCCCTATCTTGTTTATCCTATCTAACTAATATACTGGTAATAAAGTGAGGTTACATAAATGAGCTTTTGTAATACATGTTTAGATAAGGCTTCTAGTTTAATGATCTATATATACAAATTAAAAATATATCCAGTGAATATATGTATCGATAGGTGACACAAGTTTGGACTTAATATGAAGTTGTTATGGATTATGTGTTGAAATATATGATTACTTGATAGGCTGGAGTTTAGGCTTCACAAGTTATCTTGTCAAAGGAATTTTTGGCCGATTATCATGTGCCTCAATTTTATACTTGACAAATAATTGTGTTTTATTCAGTGCGAGATAGGTTTCCCTCCTTTACATATAAATAATTTAACCCCATACTGATCCATGAGGGTGATGATTTTTTGCTCCTCAATGATGATGATCCGGGGAACGGAAAAGCACCAGGAAAACATCTGATGAATAGTACCCATAATCAATAACCTATGTACAGTAACCTCAGAACATTATTTTATTTTGCTTTTTTAAAATAGGAGGCAGTGGCTTAGTTTAGGAGAGAGATGCAAACGATAAATAAAGATATGAGATAACTTTGCTAGACTGGCTTCACACACATCTAACCTTGGAAATTATGGCTTCACGCCTAAAGCAACTCACATACTTCGAAATTTTTTTTTTCTAACCTCTTAATTTTCATTCATCAATAGCCTAGTCATCATAGAGGATTACATCTTATTTATAGAAAAAAACTTAATACTAAAGATAACATCAAATCCTGAAATCTTATCTAATAAAACTAAAAATCAACATAACTAAGTATTTAAGAAAATTATCTAAAAGATAAGATCTCAAACTACTCATTTCCTATTAACTAAAATAAAATCTCCTAAAATATGATGAGACAAAATTCTAACTATATTACTAAACATTATCAACCCAATCTTAACTTGTCCTGCATCAAATCTCTAGTTGTTGGAGAAAACTCAACCTCAATTTTATAATGGGAGAGTACAATGGCTCCTTTCGCTGGTGGGAAGAATTCTATCACGAATTGTAGTATCTTCAGGATGAGCTATAAAACTAGATGTTTAGTAGGTGGCGATGGATCTGAAATAACAAACTCTATTATTAGATTATTACATATTGGTGGTATCTCGAATTGCACTTCAAATTTTGGATCTGTGTTTGATTCGAGCTCACAATTTGGATTACTTTCTGCTTGGATTCTGGTTCGAGATCCTCATCAGGCTCTTGCTCCAGAATTGTTTGATATACTTCTGGCTGCAATTTAGGTTCACGTTTTGGGTTGTCCTTCTAATTTACATCTACTTTTGGCTCACGTTCTTGCTTGACCTTTGGTTCTTGTCCAGTCTCCAATTTTGCCTTTGGATCTAGCTCTGGTTTTTAATTGAACACCGGTTCAGACTACAAGTTGACATCTGGCTGGAGTCAGAATACTAGTGTTGGTTTTGTTTCAGTTTTTGGGAGAAATAATAATATCTTCTAGTTGATCGACAAGAATATCTCTTAGGGGTGGTAAATGATCGAATCGAATACTAAGACGTTCATATTTATACCTATTTAAAATTATTGAATTCGAATGCGAACTCTAATATTCATATATGGAGGTTTTCGAATTTGAACTCGAATACTTGGTATTTGATAAATATTCATGAATATTCATGAATACTTATTGAATATCAAAGTACATTTGTTCCGCTAAAGAATTTGATTTTAAATAGTATTTAAATTTATAAATAAAAATTGTTCCTTTATAATATATAATATATGTATATTTAAATCAAAAATTTTATTAGAAAACAGATTTAAGATTATTTAAGTCTTAAAAGCAGTACATAAAACTTAAGTAGAATTGATAAGTGGGTTAAAAATATGACATCATATGCGCACTGATACAAATAATAAGTGATCAAATTTTAAACGAATATTTGATAGGCAAACAAGTCGAATATTCATCTGGTTAAATTCTATTTGTTAATAAACTCGAATACTAAAAACTATTAGTTTAGTGGTAAATGAACTACGAAATCGAATATAACTGAATAGTTACTCGAATAATTATCAAACTATTTGTTTATTATTTGGTTCATTTCCACCCCTAATCTCCTTTTCAAAAGAAATTTCATATGCTTGCATAAAGCATAGTTGAACGATAACCTGAATAATTTCGAGACCACCATTCTTGAGCTTCTTTCTTGAAGCTACACTTTGCATACAAGTACTTTTGCATTTCGGAGATTTCATAAATAAGAAATGTATCCTTCAATGTAGACTTCAAAATCGTATAGCTCCTCATATCCATCAAAGCCATAAAAATAAGATAAAGTACCAAACTTTAATGGATTGAAATTTTATTGTTGTGAAGGAGGAAGCGGATATTTACCCATAATAACTATGGACCACATGAACTTGCTTTGATACTAATTGACAGGGAATGGATTCTGATTGAAATAGAAATGTCATTGGAAAATGGACCGGATGATCGCTGGAAGATGAATAAACAGTGCTGGTAAACAGTAACCACTTCACAGTGTCAGAAATATAAGATAAAAAATAAATTAAGATAGACCGGATTTACTCACAACATCTAACCTATGAATAAATGACTTTACATCTTGAGGAATCACTCCAAAAATCTCACATAACCATAATTCTATTCATCAATCACTGTTTCTTGTCCTTTCCACATGGACTCATGGAGGATACAACTTATTTATAGAATAAACTTAACACTAAATATAATATTAAATCACTAGAATCTAATTGAATAAAACTAAAAATATTATCCTAACCAAATATCTAACAGAAAGATATAAAATGATACTCTCCAACTTCAAATTCCTATAAACTAAAATAAAATCTCCTAAATAAAATACAAACTAAATTACCAAATAAAATCAACTCAGTCTTAACTTGTCCTGCATCAAATAAATTAGGATAGACTGGACTCACTCAGAGCATCTAACCTATAAATAAATGACTTCATACCCTAAGGAATCACTCTCAAATTCTCACATAACCATCATTTTATTCATCAATGTCCTTTTCTCATGGAGGTTACAACGTATTTATAAAATAAACTTAATACTAAAGATAACATCAAATCACCTAAATCGTATCAAATAAAACTGAAAATATTATCCTAACTAAATATCTAACAGAAACGTCTAAAAGGATAAACTCTCAATATGCAGATTCCTATCGGCTAAAATAAAATTCCTAATAAAATCCAAACTAAATTACCAAATAAAATGAACTCAATCTTAACTTGTCATGCATCAGTAAGCGAGGATTAAAATTGACAAAATAGTTAAGTAGAACTTCCTGAAGTTATGCCTTTTAACCTTTGTATCTTTCTAAAGACATGCTTTCTTGAGAGTTTTTGCTCCTTGTCAAACTTCCAGAGTGGAAATGGTATTATCATGATTATTCTTCACGAACTTCCTCTCCTTCAAGGAGATGGGAGTTGATCTTAGTTAGATCTCTCGATTTGCTTAATTTTTACTTGTAGAAATTTAGAGGTTAGGCTAGAGGAAATGACTTACTATAAGGTCTCTATTAGAGGATATATCCGTGTGCTGCATAATTAGACGCAACAATGATGTAGATTGCCACTTTTTGAGACGTTTGGATTATGCAGTTACAATTTGAAGACCTTCCTAATAGGATCATTTTGAAAATCTAAAAAATTGAAGGCAAACAATGAGAGACTTTTCACACCATATTTTAGGGGCTAAAAACTAATTTGAGATTGGTTCAAAAAGAGGATTAGCTATTAGGAGAGCATACCAATCTCCTTGAGTTTTGATATAATGCATAAGATATGCCTCTGCAATACTTGATCCCTCAAGTTTCTGTGGTAACTGGTAACTGCTATGGAGGAGAAGTCAAGCATTAGCACATTTGAACTGTCTTTGAGACATCATTCTTGTCCTAAATGACTAGCAGCTACCTTCTAAACTATAAGACAAGTTTTGCATTCTTTACTGTTAGTAAGGTAAGGTCGATGATACAATTCAAACCATGCCATAAATTGTTATGATGATATGTTTTGCAAATCAATTGTTGTGATCACTGATTAAGAATTATTTGCAATTGACAGCAACGAAGGAAATCATATCTTGTAGGAGAGCTAACTATTGAAAGGCGAAACGTTTAGGCAAGACTCCTACATGAGATGAATCTCTCTAGTTTAGTGATATTCATATATGTAGGTGAAGTGGTTAACTGATTATAGCTATGGATTGCTAATCCGTAAAACTATCAAAGATCTAGTAAGGTGGTCGGATCAGTTGGATCAAAGATCTGAGATGAAAGTAAAGTATAACTGAGGAATGATAGAGTATGCATCATATGTGAATGCTGTATTGAAACATCCAAGAAGGCTAACCTGAAATCTTCTAAGCTATTTTTGCTATGTAATAGACACATGTAAGTGATTTGTCAAGCTCTGTCCCTATGATGTTGGACTGCATCTTGATTGTGTATAACACTATTCTGTCTTCATTTTATAATCTACTGGTATTATGTAAAATCTTTAGATGTTTACTTGAGCACCATAATGTTCTTGCTTTAAAGATTTCACTACGCATCTTTATGTGGAAAATTTCCTGGGAATAAAGATAATTCATTAGAGTTTAATAACTTTTTGACATCTTTCATGCTTCTTCATATTCATAATAAACACTGACATAAACTTTTGTTCCAGGGCTTTGTGCATTTGCTCCTAATTCAGAGGGTTGCTATTTGGCTCTTCCAGCAAGTACAACCAAAGGATCTGCTTTAATATACAACACAATGAAGTTGCAATCATTTTGTCAGGTAACTTAACCCATGCTCGGCCCCTTTCCCGCGCATGCAATGAAAATTCACAATAATGGTAAAGTTACTTGGTAATTGGTATCTCCACCATGAATCTTGCAAACTTAACATCTTTCCTCTGCCAGTTCAAAGACAAAACCTTGGTCTTTGTCATTACTTTGAAAACTCTCAGAATAAATTATTATGTAGTTTTATATACTTAGCAGTATTTATAACTTTATATCCATATCCGTTCTATCCTGGGGAATTATGTCAAATCACATTAGTTTCGCCAGCTTACAATTTGAACCTTGAAGCTTTTGCTCAGCAGTTTTATAATCAGTTTGGTTCTTGTTATCTTTCTTTTTGACAGATTTTAGCTAGTTGCGGTCACACCTGATAACATTGCATATGGCTGTAGCTTAACATTCCTTCAATTTCGGAATTTAAAACGTTGCAAGAAAACAAGAGTTTGTGCCGTAAGTTTTGTTGACTTCACCAGATAAATTTATTGCCAACTTTCATATAGATTTCTTTTTCCCCTCTTTTTAGTTTTGGGTTTTACTAGATACACACACTCAAAGGCGAGCAACATTCATAATGAAAAAGCTCTTGCACATCTGCAGGGAGGTTGTACTACTGTAATGCAAGTGTAACTTTTTCTTATTGCAAAAAGCTGCTACTCAAGGAGTTTTTTTAGGCTATTATGAAATCTTATTGTCATTCTTTACTATGATGGTCTAACTCCCTGCTTCTGATTCTCTCTCTTATAATTCACTTCTTGCAAAATAGATGAGTTTGGGTCTTCTCGCTTCATTTCCAACCCATCAGTTTGTGCCTTATTCACTTCGTGTTCATTCTGACAAGTGTATCATCTACTTTATCAAGCTAAACTAAAAGATATTTGTGAAACAAAATACTATTTGCCTTGTTTCCCTTCATGTATGTCAATTTCTTATCTATTTTTTTTAATTTTTGTTCCTTGGTGACATTTGCAACAGATTGATGCTCATCGTTCGCCATTGGTTGCCATAGTCTTCTCATCAAGTGGCATGTATCTAGCAACAGCTTCAGAACAAGGAACAATAATCAGAGTGCATCTTGTTTCACAAGCAACACAGGTATTAAATAGTTGACATATCTAGTACGTGTTTTAAAGTAAAATTTAAAGTTGTGTATTAAACAATCTTATCTTGTTGTTTCTATTGCAGTCATATAGTTTTAGAAGAGGAGCATACTCTTCAACAATCTATTCACTTTCTTTTGGACCATCAATGGAACTTCCAGATGTTCTTGTGGCTGCTAGCTCATCAGGCTCTTTGCATATCTTTTTTCTCGGATCTATGATAGATCACCGGACTCGAAGATCCAATACATTGCTTGGTTCAGTGATCCCTGACTCAATAAATGAGGCCTTGGAACCTGCTTATCATCATGTCATTCATGATGTTGTTCCTGTAGGAGTTAAAAGGTGACAAGACATTATTATTGTTTCCTTTTCAGCTTGTTCTGCTTGTCTCTTAAGTTTCCTTTTATAACGAGTCAATTTTTCATGTGAAGCAGTACCTTGTTGATACACAGCGTAGACAAAAGCTTAAGTGCTACCAATGTTGGATCTTTGAGGTGAGAAGTTTCCTGCCAGTATATTCATTAAGTACTGGTCCCCTACAGTAAATGGTTAGGTGGTGAATGAAATAACGATTTCTTTTTTGTGTTTTTGTGTTTTTGTTGTTTTCTTCTCATTGTCAATTATATCCTTCAGGCTTGTAAATCCAATACTAAGAAAATTCCATGACAGACACAACAAACTCATGTAGAACAACTAGTTAAATATACCATGATGTATGTTACCTAGAAACCATATATCTGTAGAAATTTATATAATTGGGATTAAGCATTAGTAAAATGCTAAACTGCCTTTTCTTTTTTTTCGACTTCAACCAGAGGTGGATTAATACACGTACCGAATCCTGAATGCATTATGTGAGGGTTTTATGTATCACATAGGATCCCACATATTGCTCCCTCTCAAGTCTTATGTTCGAAAGTGTAGTTCAACTCGCAAGATTCTTTACTTGAAGCAGTCAATGTTTCGTTTCAAGTAAGTAAAAAGGTTCATTTTCTTAGACATAAGTTTTTTTTAAAAAAAGGAAAAATGGTTTTTAACATATCTACCCCTGATATTTGGTATTTCGAGAAGTACCTCAAAATAGTGCTATTTGTTTACCCCCAAATCAAGTGAAGATCACTAGTTTACCATTCTATCCAACAGTTGCTGGTTTATCAATCGAATAGGAAACTATTTATGTTTTCCCCTCTTCTTTCTCCCCCTACGACCAAAATCTCTGATGAAGTTAGACGACGAACCATATTAATATTCCAGACTAAATGTAAGCTTATTTTACTATGTCTTCTCAATTTCATAGTACTTAGAAATTTAGAACTCTAATGACCTAGAATTCTAATGTTGTGCTGAAGCCGTTCTTGATGCAGATCTCGTCATCTCTTTTGCTTGGGTATTCTATTATCCTGTTAACTACCGTTACTTGAAGCTAGTTTGCTCCTTGCCTTGTGCAAAATGTATAATGTTTTAAACATCCATTTCTCTTTTGTCTCTTCTTGACAGGGCGTCTATATTCGTCATCACTTACAATGGATACTTCCGTGAGTACAATCTGAAAACCACTAAATTAAATGGATCGGTGTGGAGCTTGGAACGGGAATTTAATCTTATAGATACAATAGACGAGAGGGACCATACTGACTGAAAACCATGAGAAGAGATTTTAAGTTTTCATCTTCAATTTGACCTCAACTTGCAGTCTTCTGACAAATGCTTTGGTGGCTGATGCCCTGTGCTCTCAGAGTGCCATATTTTGAAAACAGGACGAACTGCAGATAATATCAACTATGTTTGTCCTGGATCCCAGAAAAGAAGATGCATACTCTCTGCATTATGTGATTTTTTACTGAGATGGCGTATAGTTATGTAGATATTTTCTCATTCTACTGTTTAACGCAAGACGTAACAGATTATTAGTTTACGACGACACAAGAAATGAAATAAAATTTGTATAGTAAAAGGGTTACTTTGCAAGTACATGTTTTCAATTGTTTGAGAGGATTCTGAAGTAGCATAAAGTGCAATTTACCAAAGTTCGTCATGGAGGGTGGCTAGTCGCCTATATTTGACATTTTCGTTTTCATTTGAGTTGTTGAGAAATGTTTATACTGACCAAACTATGAGCACTATCATGCAATTTTCTACTATGCATCAACCAAAATCAAAGGTTTTAATGTGCAATGGTATTAACCTCAACTACTGGGTTACATTTTAAAAGAATTACAGTTCACACTTTTGGTTGGTTGGGCTTTTAGCATTTTGTGGGTGTCCCAGGACCTATGGAAAAAGAAGAAAGGGAGGTTTGAGAGGGATATGAAGATTCTTGACACGTAATTCTTTTGGCGTATAGGATGTAAAGTACCGTATTAACTTCAAATCTTTAGCCTGACTAGAACAATATCTGTAATAAGTTTCAAAGTGGATGCAAATATAAATGAGTTCATTTGAAAATTTAAAATTGCAGGTAACATGGATAGCTCTATCTGCTGGAAGCTTGAGGAACATCTAACACAGTGCAACAAAGGATCAATATTTTCAACGAGAATGCTACCAGCAAACACAAAATTCACTGAAGCAAGTAGCGGTCAGAATCAAATATCTAGCTAGAGCTCCACTTTTCCCTCTGGACTCTGGTTTTAACTGTTATATTACTAGCAAGATGTGAGTTACTGTTGCCTCGCACGGTTCCAACTGTATTCAAACTTCAGTAGACGTGTAGTTATACTAAGGAGTTGTTGAAAAGCAATTACCAAAATTGGAGAATTGTTGTTGCCAGCAAATTAGTGGTGCATTTGCTTAGTGATACTTTAGGATTAATTATACAAAATCACCACAACATATAGTGGCTTTTCGGAAGACCATAAAAAAACCCCATAGAACTAGCAAAAACTATAGTCGTTTTTTGGGGAATCACCGCAAATTTTTTATTTTTATAGAAACATCATGAAAATATGCATCAATAACAAAGTGCCACCAAATTTTAATTTTGCATCTATATTATGTTAAACTAAATAATATGCTAAATCCCTAAACGCCCTCATGGTAAAACCAACCAATCTATTATTATATTTTCTCAAACCAACAAAACACCTGAGCTCCGTTGATGATCCAGATGCTTGGAATGTTCCAATATGACTCCCACTATCTTGGGTTCGATTCCCAGTCACCTCATTATCCAAAAAACAAAAGAAGTCGTTATTCCCCTCTAGAACTTTATTAACTCGCTCAAAAAATTCCTAATTCACTACAAATATCCCCACTCACCCTCTCTAAAATTGTCATAATGGGCATTTATGTTATTAAACTTTATTATTTAACAAAGTAATGATGTAAATTATGACTTGGTGGGACTTAGTAAAAGATTCATATTTTCATGTCTGTTCTATAAAAATAAAATTTTTTGGTGGTTTTCCAAAAAACCAGTATATTTTGTGGTGGTTCTATGAAAATAATTTATGGCTGTTCTCAAAATACTATTATATTTTGTGGTGGTTTCGTATTAAAAAACCTAGTCAGAATATCTTATTACATTTTACAACAAGTATTTCCCAATCTGTTGAAAAAATATCATCAATTTGAAGCTAGCAACAACTTTCTAGATTTAATCCATTTCATTTTTACCACAATACTTTGGCGTCGCCATGACATCCAAGCATTCACTTCATCAGAATCTTCCCATGGGAGAACGCTGTGAAGTACGTATCCATGGTTCATGAATTACTACATCAGAATCTTCGCAAATGGATACAATCTTAGAGATAAAGGATATTACATGTGATGCTGAATTAACAACTCCCTTTGCCTTTCGCATTTTACAAATCAAATAGACTTATAAAAACAAAATATGTAAAATTGTCGAGATCACTATGTCGGAGCTAATGGAATACAATCAAACAAGAAATTGCAGCACAAACTGGCTTACAAGATTGTCTTTCAAGTGCTTTTGCAAAAATAATAAACAACTACGTCAAGAAAAATTTAAAGATTCCTTTACGTTCAAACCCACTTTGGAAGAATTCCAGTTAACCAATATAATGATTGCGGTACTATATCACAAGACTCTATTTTCATCCTTTTATGACATTTTTGGAGGAGCAGAATCCACAATTGCTACAGAAGTCAATATATGACAAGTGACAACCCATTCACTATGAATGAATTATTTACATTTGTAATTTACGATACATGCCGAGAAATGTGGCTGTAATCATAGGCAAAAAAGGGAATACAAATGAGGAAAAAGATCATCACGGGAGGAGAGACCAAAAAGTTAATGAAAAAAGAATAAATGAAACGGAATGAAAATCCCATACAAAACCATAAAAATTATTGAACTGAACCTAAATCAATCTGTTAGATTGCGCCTGTGTAAATCTAGTTCTTTAGCAAGGTTGACGACGATACTAGGGTGTTTTGAAAAGACTTGATGGGACCTATAAAACATGCCAATTGTTAGATGTTAGAAATTTCAAAATTTCAATGAATTTAGAAGAACACATATTTCAAAATTTAAACATGCAACCAAATGCAGGGAAATGAAACTTCTTGACGATAGCCAAGACAAGGAAACTAGAGGTCCTTATAAAAGAATAATGAAAATGTGATGTACCCAACAACAACTAACTTACCTTTAGATGATGTGGCATGATTTTGATATCAAATGGTACATGAAACCATGCCTCCGGAGGATACAACAAGAAGTTCTCAGGTTTACTCGTATATACATCCGCATACTGATGGATATGATAGGCAAATGCTGATTCCTGACCAGTATCCGTGAGGAAAGTAGCACCAAATGAACTATTAAACATTCTCCTCATATTGGAACGACATTGTTGTCTTTCCTCATTCAGTTCATTTAATAAAGCATCATAAGCTTGTCCCCTTTTACTAATGGCTGCTATAGAATGGAATTTACCAAGTATTTCTTGTATGATATGAAATTTTGCCTGCATCCAATAAAAGTAGTGGAAGGTATCAAAGATACTAAACACCCCAGTTACAAATGTATTAATAAGTACCAAACAGAGTCTGAAAATATCGTGAACTTTAATCTTAGCTAATAATTCTGTCTTCCTAATTTAGACTGGTTACCTAATATTTAGTTTAAGAAGAGTCAGAGAGCCTAGACAAATCAGTGATATAAACTAAAATAAATAGTTAACAGTAACTATAACTTGAGCAATGTTTGTGGGTATAAACACATGAAAGTATTGAAAATCAAATATAAGTATACAAACATAACACAACTGATATAAACCAAAATACAGTGTTCGATATACAAACATATTAGGTATATGCACATAACTCAAGGCATCAAATATAGTGGGTGCATATGCTACATGAAATTTTATGTTTTGTAGTCGAAAGTGGTTAAGCATGGATATACCTCTAATTCTAACTGCTCGATTATCTTATTACATTTTACAACAAGTATTTCCCAATCTGTTGAAAAAATATCATCAATTTGAAGCTAGCAACAACTTTCTAGATTTAATCCATTTCATTTTTACCACAATACTTTGGCGTCGCCATGACATCCAAGCATTCACTTCATCAGAATCTTCCCATGGGAGAACGCTGTGAAGTACGTATCCATGGTTCATGAATTACTACATCAGAATCTTCGCAAATGGATACAATCTTAGAGATAAAGGATATTACATGTGATGCTGAATTAACAACTCCCTTTGCCTTTCGCATTTTACAAATCAAATAGACTTATAAAAACAAAATATGTAAAATTGTCGAGATCACTATGTCGGAGCTAATGGAATACAATCAAACAAGAAATTGCAGCACAAACTGGCTTACAAGATTGTCTTTCAAGTGCTTTTGCAAAAATAATAAACAACTACGTCAAGAAAAATTTAAAGATTCCTTTACGTTCAAACCCACTTTGGAAGAATTCCAGTTAACCAATATAATGATTGCGGTACTATATCACAAGACTCTATTTTCATCCTTTTATGACATTTTTGGAGGAGCAGAATCCACAATTGCTACAGAAGTCAATATATGACAAGTGACAACCCATTCACTATGAATGAATTATTTACATTTGTAATTTACGATACATGCCGAGAAATGTGGCTGTAATCATAGGCAAAAAAGGGAATACAAATGAGGAAAAAGATCATCACGGGAGGAGAGACCAAAAAGTTAATGAAAAAAGAATAAATGAAACGGAATGAAAATCCCATACAAAACCATAAAAATTATTGAACTGAACCTAAATCAATCTGTTAGATTGCGCCTGTGTAAATCTAGTTCTTTAGCAAGGTTGACGACGATACTAGGGTGTTTTGAAAAGACTTGATGGGACCTATAAAACATGCCAATTGTTAGATGTTAGAAATTTCAAAATTTCAATGAATTTAGAAGAACACATATTTCAAAATTTAAACATGCAACCAAATGCAGGGAAATGAAACTTCTTGACGATAGCCAAGACAAGGAAACTAGAGGTCCTTATAAAAGAATAATGAAAATGTGATGTACCCAACAACAACTAACTTACCTTTAGATGATGTGGCATGATTTTGATATCAAATGGTACATGAAACCATGCCTCCGGAGGATACAACAAGAAGTTCTCAGGTTTACTCGTATATACATCCGCATACTGATGGATATGATAGGCAAATGCTGATTCCTGACCAGTATCCGTGAGGAAAGTAGCACCAAATGAACTATTAAACATTCTCCTCATATTGGAACGACATTGTTGTCTTTCCTCATTCAGTTCATTTAATAAAGCATCATAAGCTTGTCCCCTTTTACTAATGGCTGCTATAGAATGGAATTTACCAAGTATTTCTTGTATGATATGAAATTTTGCCTGCATCCAATAAAAGTAGTGGAAGGTATCAAAGATACTAAACACCCCAGTTACAAATGTATTAATAAGTACCAAACAGAGTCTGAAAATATCGTGAACTTTAATCTTAGCTAATAATTCTGTCTTCCTAATTTAGACTGGTTACCTAATATTTAGTTTAAGAAGAGTCAGAGAGCCTAGACAAATCAGTGATATAAACTAAAATAAATAGTTAACAGTAACTATAACTTGAGCAATGTTTGTGGGTATAAACACATGAAAGTATTGAAAATCAAATATAAGTATACAAACATAACACAACTGATATAAACCAAAATACAGTGTTCGATATACAAACATATTAGGTATATGCACATAACTCAAGGCATCAAATATAGTGGGTGCATATGCTACATGAAATTTTATGTTTTGTAGTCGAAAGTGGTTAAGCATGGATATACCTCTAATTCTAACTGCTCGATT